CAGGACTGGCCTAGGGGTATTTTAAAGGGGTTTTAAATTAAATTTTTAGTAGAAGCGGCCAAATTTAAATAGTTATTTTTAATCTTTTTTAAAGTTTGTATTGTATTATATCATTGTTTTAAACTGGCTGTAAGCCGCCCTGAGTCCTCCGGGAGAAGGGCGGGGTATAAATTTAATAAAATCTAAATCTAAATCTAATAAATCTAAATGAGCTTTTAAATGTTAATTATGACATTTTTAACTTTTTTAATTTTTTTGTTTTAATTGCTATCTTAAATTGGGATTTTTGTGTGTTGGTTTTCAATCTATTATCACTATAATCTATTCAATGGCCTTGATCGCTGGTGCTACATCAAATCAAATAATATACAGGTAGTTCTTGATTTACTAGGGCAGTGGTGGCGAACCTATGGCACGCATGCCAGAGGCGGCACTCAGAGCCCTCTCTGTGGACACGTCTGCTGTTGCCCCAGCAGAGTTCGCCAGAGTAGCAAGCACGTGGCATTTGGAAATGACAGGGCAGGAAGTGAGCAAGCAAGCGGCATTGGCCCCCCGGGGATGTCCCAGAGATGGCGAGAAACTGGCCCCTGGCCCCTGGCCCCAGCCACGCTCACCAAGTCTGCTGTGACCACTGCAGCCATGCCTACCCAGTGGGCGATGCCCCCCATCCCCCTTGAGGGCACCACAATGCTGATGCAGCCCTGGCATTTTGCAATAAATAAGTGGGTTTTGGGTTGCAGTTTGGGCACTCAGTCTCTAAAAGGTTCGCCATCACTGTACTAGGGTAACTGAGCCTGAAATTATGGCTGTAAATTGTGTTGGTCATTAAATGGGTCACCGCCCGTGACTATGACCAATTTTACAGGTTTTTGTGATGGTCGATAATAAATGGGGCAGACGTTAAGTGAACCCATTGTACCCACTTTTTGGTAGAAAGCAGAAGTAAATGGCAGTTGCCTGCCAAAAGCATTATAAATCATGGTCAACCATAAATATAGGCTAGTTGCCAAGTGTCCAAAATGCTATCACATGACCCTGAGGGTCTCTCTCTCTCTCTCTCTCTCTCTCTCTCTCTCTCTCTCTCTCTCTCTCTCTCTCTCTCTCTCTCTCTCTCTCTCTCTCTCTCTCTCTCTCTGTGTGTGTGTGTGTGTGTGTGTGTGTGTGTGTATCTGTGGCCATCAGTACTTTGAAACTAGTTTGTAAGTAGTTCTGGAGAAATTTGTTCGTAAATTCAAACGGTCATTAAGTGACTGATTGTAAGTCAAGGGCTTCCTATAATACAGGATAAAATATAGAACTGTGCCAAAATGTTATCTTGCTTAAGGCCCTGTTTTCCTATGCAACCAATAATGTGTATCATAACTATTTAGCAGTTTGTAGAATGTTGCTGTTGATGCCCTGTTTCCAGTGGTATTTAGTACAGCAAGTCATCTGAATGTGGGCATTCCTTTTATGCCATCAAAGCTAATAGCTGTTGATAGACCTTGAACATATCCTATGTCGACTGGTTCTGGAAATTAAAGAATTTAATTAAACAAATTGAACAACAGTGGCATTCACAACCATTTAACCTGATTACTGAATTAATCCAGTTTTCTGGCTTTGTAAAACTCATTGCACAGAAATCAACCAAGCGGGATGCACATCGGGCTAGGCCATAAAGAAACTAACAAGGATCAACACAAACCATTCTTAGCATAGTATCCAGATGCAAACTCTAAGTGCTCAAATGACCAGGTTAAATATGTCATGTGACATATTTGTCTTACCAGAATTTTAGATCTTGGATTATTTAATTGGATGTCCCAAAAGAGGGAGAAAGAGAAATTTCTGTATTAAAGAAGCTTTTTCTTTCTCTTACACCAACTGTGATGAATTTAAATTAGCCAATGGTTAAGGAAGCCCATCAATACGTGCCAAAATCATGACAAGGGATTTCGTTCCAAGTAGGAAACAGTGTGAGTTTTGTTCGTTTGTTTGTTTCTAAGCACATTTTCATGGGATTTTTCTTTAAATTAAGATTGCGTATTTCACATTCCACATCCACTGAAGCAAAAATAATTTCTTTGCTTATAGGGAAGCTAGGAGAAATACAGTTCCTTATGAAAACATCCTCATTATGGATCATTGACTAATAAGTGTATTTTCTTTTCAAGACTGACAAAGGGCAGAAAATTTGATCCCTAGAAAACACAGATTGTAATTCTGTTGGCTATAAAAATACTGCTTGAGATATATAAATCAGCAAAAATCTGCTCTAGGGCTTGTTCTAGCAAGGCAGAACCTGTCTCATTTATCCATTTCTTTAAATCAGTTATTTGCATAAGTTTTCAAACACAGCTTTCCTTAAATATTCAATAATATTACATATATTTTCTCCTAAAGTACCAGCCTTTTAATGGAAATTCCAAGATTTTTTTTTGTAAACATACTTTTCCCTGACGCTCTTTGTGATAAAATTTTTCCCTTTCCACTCTTACTTTTTTAAATCTGCACTTCTCCACCATATTGATTGATTATATACCATCAAGTCATTTTTAGCTCCTAGCATCCACACAAATAGATTTTTTTCCATAACCATCTATTTTTTTAGCCTGTTATTTAGGCTCTTGTATGTCTGATACAACTCCACTGTGATGTACGCAATTTCAGAAACAATCTTTTATGGCTGTATCTTTCACAAACAAATTGGTTTAATGTCCGTGTATGTTAAATTTTGATGGGAGTAATACAGATTTTAGGGTCCATTCACTGCAATGGCAGAGTCCATGTTCCTGTGTGCTGCAACTCTGTTCTTTTAAAACTCCATGGTGGATTTCATTGACATCCCTGGTTCTTCATGACATTTTGGGATAATCCTTGCTCCTCTTTGAACTAGTAGCATCAAGTGAATAACAATATGGTGTGCTTGGTATGAAGGACGTATTCTGCAAAAAGTTTATAAAATATCCTTCTAGAAATCCAGAGCACCTGAAACTTCCAAATGAGGCTGTGATAGACATCTCATGCTACCTTCATGGAAGATGACTTCTTCTTCTCTTTATCTTTTGACATGGTATTCAATATTAATATATTATGTCATTTCCAAGATTGTGTGCATTCAAATAAAAGAGTATCAAAAGTTTCATCGCTGAACCTCAAATATAATTTGCTGGTCCTGTATCTGGAGTGGGGATTGAGGTTATTTTTGGAAATGTTTGTAAGCTTTCATTACTATCCTTAAGTCAAGATGTGCCTTGAACCTTCAGGATAATGACAACTGTAGATCTGGAATGTTTTCATTCTGTCAGTCAGTCAAGTTTGGCAAAGAGATAACCAAAGTTCAAATAAATAAAATATAAAAAAACAAAACCCAAACACCTTCCCTTATGAGTCTTCCCTGATATTGTGAATGAGAGTGGAAGGTTTGATAAAAATGTCTCCCCAGAGAACTCAATCTGCAAAAATTTTGAACAATGGATAAGAAGCTCTCTACTTGATAAAATGTTTAATTGTCCACCTTTGTCCTGTGCAGCTGCGGAGAATAAGATCCATACCTGACGTGCCTTTATTTTCAACTTCCAAGCAGCGTCCTGTCCCTTTATTTAGGATTGCACCATGCTGGATTATTGTTAAATGAGAGAGAGAGAGAGAGAGAGAGAAATCAGTGTTTACATTCATCAACTTTTAATAGGTCAGATTACAATTCCCATGCCAGTTGGGAATATTTGAAGTTGTAATTCAGGACAAACCTGACATGTACAAATCCAGCCCACACAGTTCATCTGTATATTTGGTATGTTGATATATGATATAGTATTGGTATATGAACCTAGAAAAATATGGCAATTCAGCATTTTGGTTGTATGGTATACAAATGCTACCATTGTGCCTCTTCACTGGCTCATTATAGGGACAGGAAAAGTATGAACCTCCAGCATAGCCAATGGTAAGGCATGCAGGAACCTTAATACAACTATGTCCCAAATCATCTTGTATGAACTCAACAGAATGGACCTGAAGCTCTTTGGCTCACTTACAGAGAATTCAGTAGCCCTGTACTAGAGCAACACAACCCTATGGGAGACCTATGACTAGGAGTTTCTATTGCTAAATTAGTTTGTCCATGGGACTGTTGTTCTTGTGTTGGTCCAACTGGACTCTTCTTTGGTATGCATTAACTCCACATGGGTTCACCCAAAAGTACAAGTGGGCTATTGCGTTAAGGACCCCTGACAAAGCTAATAGATCCTATTTGATTGATAATAGGTGTCTGTAGCCATAACTTTGTTTCATTTTGTTTAGTTTGGAACCCCAGCAATTCTTTATATGTTTTAGCCTATATGTTTAGAGAACTTTCTTTAGAGAAACCTCAAGAAAATATATTGGCACACTCAATGAAAAATCTTTCCATTGTACTGGGATCTGGATTTCACTTTATTCAGTGGATTATTTTGTCTAAGGGCTATGAAGGGCTTTGGATCTAAAGGCAAAAGAAGTCGTTTGGAGAATGAATGCTCATGTAGACCACACCTGTCTCCAGCTTCTGAACTTTCTCAGGATCATGCTGAAGCTGCATAAGGAAGTGGCTGCAGCAAGGTTCTGGGTCAGCATCTATTCATGTGCCAGAGTTGCTGTTTTTTTGCCCAAAAATTTGCCTCAAAGCCAAGGACAGCAGGGAGATGGTGTAAAAAAGAAATCAAGATGGTGTTCTGAAACATCACACTGACTTTTTGACAGCCTATTACCATCATCAACAACACATGTCCTGTCCATGGCCTATTTCATACTGCAGCCAAACAATCTAGGCAGGACAATTCTATATCTGAGAGATATTATCACATGTGCTTTACTTTCAAATGTTCCAGCTTCAATCCTTGGCATGTTTGGTCAAGGTTGGGAAATCTCTCCAATGCAAGCATGGCTGATTTTGGTAGGAAATTAGGCAGCTTCCAGAATTCTAACATATTTTTTTTTGGGGGGGGGGGAGTAAAATACCCACACTTATTTTGCATCAAGGCAACAAAGAAGAATTCACAGTTTCCACATACTAACTGAAGGTAGCCAGGCTCCAAACTAACTCAAATAATCACAGAGAATGTACTTCATAATAATACACAAGAATAGCTAAACCAACGGTCTGATTTAGTGCAGAGCTGCTTCTTATATTATGAAACAGCTATGGGAACATCACCACATTAAAATTAAAATTAATATAGTCAAGCTGGACTGGAATAAACTGAAACTCTCTGTTTAGCTTTATGTAGGTCTAATTTCAGTGGCTTACAAGCATAGGGTAGCAGAGATAACTGAATAATTATTTGATGCATATTCCATTCACTGTTAATGTTGGCTCCTCTCACAAAGTGTGTGGTTGTTTGTTTTTGTTTTTGTTTTTAAATCCCATCTGTTTTAGTCTCCCTTTTATCAAAATGAGGTAACAAACTGTGTATTCAAAACTGGCCCTTGCTCTATTGAATATTGGTGGCATATACATCGGAGAAAATGGGCAATTGCTTTCAGCTCACTGCTAAAAAGGATTCAATATTTTAAAGAGGATATATGCTTTTAATGAGATGGCCAGGTAGTTTTCCAGTCCTTTCGTCTCCTTTTCTTTTTTTTTAAAAAAAAACCTTTGTAGTTTGGGGATGATGAAGGCCCAATATGGCCCAATATTACTACTCCTAGCCCCATTGCCTCAAAGGTGCTTTTTTCTTTGAGGAAGTAGACATTTTGCTTTTCATCCAAGAAGCTTAATCTGATGGAATGGTGGGATGGATGGAAGGACTACTTCTGACATCCCAGCCACCATCTAGCCAGAACTGATGAAGCTTCTTGGATGAGAAGCGAAACCTCTTTTTCTTCCTCAAAATAATAATAATAAAAAACCATAGTCCAATTGCCTTTTGAAAAAAGGACCTTTGAAATAACCATGAGCTGGATGACTGAGAATCTCCATAGACACCTAGCTCCATTCTAAAAGTATTTCAGAAACAGCTGGCTGGAAAAGCAGAAATGAAGATTAGAAAGCTTAGGCTTTAGATCTTCTGAGAATAAGCATCACACTTTTTTTTACAAGCTTTGCAGAAAAGCTGTAAAGGTCATCAAACCTCTCTTTGAACTTTTATTGGAGGAGGATGACTTACAGAAGGGAAGATCTGGCTAGGGTTTAACCTTATAGTTATTAATATGCTCCAGCAGCAGGGGTGATTTTGAACATACTGTAGACTGCGGCTAAAAAAACCCGAAGGTTTACCACAAATAATTCATATGAAAATAAATGCAGATAGCACGAACCTGTATAAAATTCCAACGCTTGTGGAGGCTGCTCTTGACTTTCTCGCAATCAAGCAGCTGAGGGAGTTTACTCTTCACATTATCCACCAGGCAGCGGGTATCTGGGAGCAATATTGTAGTCCCAAGAGCTCCTAAATGCAGATATCCTTCTTTGGTGTAGCGAGCAAGCTAGGGAAGGAAGAGAGAGAAAGAGTCAGGCTTAGAAATATGAAGGTTATCTACATGCAAAACCAAATAGAGAGTCTGGTAGTGAAAGATAATATGGATTATTATGATCTTAAATGAAGCTTTGCTCTGGTGAAACTCCATCTCAAGTACTCTGCAAAGCTCTGGGCAAAGGTTCAAAGAAGCGGTGGAGAAGGTCCAAAGAAAGAGGATAAGGATAATCAGGGTATTCAACCTTACAAAGAGAAATGGGTATGCTTAGACTTCAGAGTGATGGTGATTGAATAGCATGCTTCAAATAAACCGAAGAGTTGGTTCACAGAATTAAGGCTGTTCTCTGCTTTTCTCAGAGTCTAAATCTATTACAGAAGGCAAAATCACTATTAGAGAAGACTTCCTAATGGCAAGAGGAGACTTTTCTTGTGTTCCTCAAGGTGATATCACCTCTACTCTCTTGGCTTTCTGACAGGGCCTCAAAACCTGGCTCTGCCACTTGGCCTGGGACCCCGATGGGAGTGTATCATACTACAGGTAGCTAGTGGACCAAAAGCAGATTCCACCTCCATCCCATGTGTATCTTGCTCTCTTTCTCGCCATCTTTGACAATTTTAATGTTGATTTTAATGCTGATATTAATAACTGTAATATTTTAATGTTTTACTCACATCTGTTCAATTTCATCCATACAGAGTGAGGCAGGTTGAAACCTGGTGGTTTGGTAGAGAGTTTACTAAGAAGGAACCTTGGACCATTCCTCTCTCCAGACATTCTTGGAGTTAAACTGGTTAGATATTAAGTGAATAGCTGTTTTCCATGCTGGCCTACAGGATTTCGATCTTGTGGTGGACTGTGCATTGTCATCCTTCCTCATTGACAATTGAGAGCTTGTAGTCTTCTAATGTAGGGCAGTATGATATTGCTAACTACTGGTAACCAGTACACAATACTGCATGAAACAACAGAGGCGATTGCCTGAATACTTGGAATACTGCATCCAGTTTTGGTTACCACAATATAAAAAAGATGTTGAGACTCTAGAAAGAGTGCAGAGAAGAGCAACAAAGATGATCAGGGGACTGGAGGCTAAAGCATATAAGGAACGGTTGCTGGAATTGGGTATGTCTAGTTTAATGAAGAGAAGGATGAGGGGGGACATCATAGCGGTATTCCAATATCTCAGGGGTTGCCACAAAGAGGAAAGAGTCAAGCTATTCTCCAAAGCACCTGAGGGAAGGACAAGAAGCAATGGATTTGAAACCAATTAAGGAGAGAAGCAATCTAGAACTAAGAAGAAATTTCCTGACAGTTAGAATAATTAATCAGAACAACTTGCCTCCAGAAGTTATGAATACTCCAACAGTGGAAATTTTTAAGAAGAGATTGGACAAACATTTGTCTGAAATGGTATAGGGTTTCCTTCCTGAGCAGGGGGTTGGACTAGAAGACCTCCAAGGTACCTTCCAACACTGTTATTCTATTCTATTCTATTCTATTCTATTCTATTCTATTCTATTCTATTCTATTCTATTCTATTCTATTCTATTCTATTCTATTCTATAGCTGAATGGGACATCCAGTTATGAGGCCATAGCCGTATCCCCATAAAAGTTTTGTATATAATTACATGCATTGTGTGAGATGGGCAGCATATAAATTGAATAATTAATTAATTAATTAAAAATAGCGAAGATACTGGAGGAACTGTTGGTTCTGGTCCTGCTCACTGACGCAGAGAAAGTAAAGACCAATGACTCTTCTGTGTGACTGTGCTTCAGACAGAGTGCTATCATATCTCCCCTTATAACAGTTGTCTTTTCTGTGGGTTGAACATACCCATGTCCTTTAACTATCCCTCATTAAATGTGCTTTTCAAGCTTCTTGCCACCTTGATTGTCCACCTTTCAACTTTTTCCAGTTTGTCACTGTCCTTTTTGAACTGTGGTGCCTCAAATTGGGAGATCATGATCCATAAATAGTCTGACCACGTCAGACTACAATAGAACGCTAAATATATAGTCTGACCACATCAGACTACAATTGAAGAATTACTTACTGTAACCTGGATGCTATGCTCCTGGTAATGTACCCCAATATTGGTTTGGTGAGGGGCCTGGGGATTTCATCCCCCCCTTGAACATGAAAACTAGAGAGACAGATAGTTTGGTTGTCCTTTCACTGAAAAACAGTGGAGAAACACCATTCCAAGGAATGGGACTCAAGAGAAAACTTCCATATATTGAAAGGAATATATGGTACAATTATCTACTTTTTTAAAGATGTGGAATTCCATACAATAGAAATCCAACACAGTCTTAAGCCAGGGATGGGAAACTTGTATTGACAGATGCTGCTGAATTAAAACTCTCAGCTTCTTTAAACTTTGAACTACAGTGATTGTGGCTACTGGGAGTTGTACACTGGAGGATTACTGGTTCGTTTTTTGGACAATCAATACATAACAGAAGAGGTGGAGAGTTAAGCCAGTGATTCTTACCATGACAAATTCAGCATGTCCTTTTAGAACTTGTGTTACTTAATGGAGAATGGAAGGACATAGAGTTCCACAACCATTGGACATAGTACCCAAATGATTTTTAAAAAGTTAACAAACCAACTTAAGATCAGGGATTAATTTCAGTCATGTGTCCCAGGAAGAAAATTGCTGAAAAAGACTTTAAAGTGCAAATATTAAGGGTACAAAAATGGCTAACCAATGTTTAAAAATGAGCTACAATTTTTGAAATACAGAGAATACAAGAGTTGCTTTAACACATATGGATGAAAGATCCTGTTCTGAAGAACCAGACTATCTTTCTGAATCTTGCCTCAGCAATTTCCTGAGTTAATTTTTAAGCAGGATAAAGCTTAGATCAACATTTCTCAAACTTGGCAACCTTAAGATGTGTGGATTCCCAGAATTTCCCAGACAACATGAGAAACCCAGGCCTAGATGAATCTATCAAGTCTAATTTTCAAAACTCTTGTGAAGATTTCAGTATAAGGTATGACAATTGGGGGAGATAGGCAAAATATTCTGCTTATGTAGACTTCATATCAGTCAAGAGATAGCAGGACAAACCTGCCTTATCATTTTTCAACTCTACATGTATTATAAAGGAGCTCCTCTTTGTGCCCTAGAGAAACGCGATTAATCTTAATTAGTGTTAAATTGACACCAGCTGGAAAATTCTGCGAAATACAAGAAGCCCAGAAATATAGTTGGCGCACTGCTAACTCCATTTGATCGCTTCTGCTGGAAATTAACATCCATCTTCCTTCATTATGGTTGAGGTTGGGGTCTGTGCGCTCACAGTGGGAGAAAGTTAATTATATTCTCTCTCTTTTTTTAAGGCTTGCTAAGTGAGGTTTGGGGTGGCCTTAGCAAGTCAGAACTAGAGAATAACGGTTTAGCATGGCACAAAACACTGTCACTATCCTATAAAGCCACCATAATTCAGAGTGCAGTTGCGTGCTCTGTAGAGGAATTATTGAAATTAAGCTGATATATATTAACTTGCAATATGTTATAAAATATAATTTATATAATTTACCTGGCAGCTCATCATGAGGAAAGTGACAGACAACAATCACTCAATTATATGCATTAAACAATGCATTGCAAATTAGAGCTCTCTTCCCCCCCCACTAAGTATGAGCACTGCGTGTGTTATTTTCCAAGAGACAGTTAACTGAATTTAAAGGAACAAATTGTATGTGTCCATAGCTGCCCTAAAAAACCCATGCAAATCATGTACAGTAGTGTGATGTTCCAGATTCAATTCTGAAAGGAATGCAGAGAAGTATGAATGTAGCACCTCTTGGTGACTCATTAAGACAGATAAATTTATTTCTAGGAGTCACACAATCCTGGATATGTGTGCTCTAATAAGACTTTGGCAGGTTCTGCATTTTGCACTCTATATATTCCAAAGCACTTTTCCCCCCCAGAATTGAATCTAAAGCTCTGTGCAGCCAGGAACATTATCTAAATTAGACTAGGCTATTGAGATCAATGGGAACAACTGACTGGGAGATAGCTTCCCATAGTGGCCAGGGAACTTCTTTTTCTTACTCTGGGAAGGGGGAATAGAACAAAACAGAACAGAACAGAACAGAATAACAGAGATGGAAGGGACCTTGGATGTCTTCTAGTTCAACTGTCTGCTTGAACAGGAGACCCTATACCAGGGGTAGGCAACCTTGGCTCTTTTATGACTGGTGGACTTCAACTCCCAGAATTCCTGAGCCAGCCATGCTGGCTCAAGACTTCTAGGAGTTGAAATCCACCAGTCATAAAAGACCCAAGGTTGCCTATCCGTGCCCTATACTATTCCAGATAAATGGCTGTCCAATTTCTTCTTGAAAACCTCCAATGATGGAGCACCCATAACTTCTGGAGGCAAGCTGTTCCACTGATTAATTCTTCTCACTGTCAGGAAGTTTCTCCTTAATTCTAGGTTGGATCTCTCTTTTTGACAATCTTCCATCTGTTACTTCTTGTCCTGCCTTCAGGTCCTTGGAGAATAGGTCAACCCCCTCTTCAAATATTGGAAGACTGCTATCATGCTACCCCTAATTCTTCTTTTTGTTAGACTAGACATATCCAGTTCCTATAACTGTTCATTATATGCTTTAGCTTCTAGATCCCTAATCAACCTTATTCTATGTTTGGTCTCCAGAGCTTCTTGGCTAGCTTCATCTAGCACTCTCTCCTCCTTCACCCTTCCAGGCATCCTGTACTCCACATCATATGGAAGACCAATCAAAGAAACTATCCCAGGAAACAACACCCATTTCTCACAAACCATACCAAACCAGGTAAATGATCCCTCTAACACAAGAGTCTTCAAACTTGGCCCTTTTATGACTTGTGGACTTCAACTCCCAGAATTCCTCAGCCAATGTGCCTGGCTGAGGAATTCTGGGAGTTGAAGTCCACAAGTCATAAAAGGGCCAAGTTTGAAGACCCCCTGCTCTAACACAATCAATAGCTCAATGTACAA